AAAAACATGGGCGGGAGAAAAGAAGGGAGGCAAGACAGTATTCTGATCAAGCCTCCAAATTTTATTTTCGAGCGGTTATATTTATACACTCAAGTGGAGAGGGCAGGGGCGGGACTGATCAGGGAAGAGAGTATTTGTTACAAGCTCATTGGCGTCCACCAGATGAGGTGACTTCTACTTGGCTAGTCAGAAACAGGTGGGCTGTGCCAGCAGTTGCAGGCTTAAGGCTCCCGACAGTTTCCTAAGGATGTTTAATGATATTTCTGCCAATATACTTCTCCACTAACAGTGCATGAGAGCCTAATTTCCTACAATATGCTTAGCCATTCTAAATTCACCTTACACTTTGACCCAGACACTTCATTATTTTGGACATATCCATCCAAATTACTCCCTGCCTGAATAGATACCTATAATTATGTGGCTTTGCTTTACAGGCTCTTTAACAAAGAAGGACGATGGAGCCAGAGAGTGTCTGATATTGTCACAAAAATGGTAGAAATGATTGTCTTTGGAATCAAGGATAGATGGAAAACAAGTGACATGAGTACCTGACATACAGAGTGAAAAGGCCAAGGGATGAATGTATGGGTAAGTAAGATGAAGGTGAGCATTGATAAAAGAATAAAACACAAATGGAAAAAGCCTCTGAGGAACTGAATCCATCCTAGTGATGCACAGCCCTCTGGAAAATTTTCTTTCTTTCCATATATATCTCATTTGTCTCTGTTACTTCACCTTCAAGTTTAACACCAGAGAAACAATTCCCTCACAGACTGAGAAAGGAGAGACAGCACAGGGGAACAGCATGAAAATATGAGTCTCTTTTACAGAAGGCTGGAGTTCAAGGGATCCTAGTTCCAGATACCACACCTATCACACTGCCCACCAGTGATCCCAGGGATCAATTCAGCCCTAACACAGAGTCCCACATTATTGATTGGTTATGGACATAGGATTTGAGGCCAGAGCAATCAGAGTTTGAATCCTGGTGCTAAAATCTGTGGTCCAGCGCAAGTAACTTTGACCTTACAGTGACTCTCATTCTCCCCTCCACCCCTTCTTAAATTGAAGGCAGTAATAGCTTGCACCACATGAGATAATTGTGAGAATTTAGTGAATTATATATGGAACTACACAGAAAGCCCCTAGAGAAATGCCTGTGACCTAACAAGTACTACAAATAAGTTGCTATTACTAGCTCAGATACTTAGTACAACGTCTAATGTTTAGTAAGTGAAGAATGTGTATTAACTGCATTTATTGTTACAAGAAAGAAAAGGATTGGAATTATGGGGACAGGTTGTAGCATCAGTTATTAACTTACTTTATAAAGTGGTGATAGTAAAACAGGGCAGCCCTATTGGGAAATAATCTGACATACCATTTAAGGGAGCCAACATTAAAAGATCAGAAACTGAAACAAGCACATGAAAGGATAAAATGAGGGGCCTTAAGTTCCCATTTCCAATCTTTGGACGAAAAAAAAAAAGGATTTTTATTTGAGAAATAGTTCAGACTTAAGTGGTAGGTTACAAAAAGCAAGATCGAATGTTCCTCACACCACATGATACAATGTGAAAGAAGAAAATAACTGTCAGGATATAGAATGGTATGTTACAGTATGGTTTCTCAGAAGATGTTAACAAAATTTTAGGTTTTTATGTGCCAATATAAACATAAAGTCAAGGTAAAGGGACACAGGAAAATGAATGTTGGCCGTGTTTATAAATGGGTGGTTGGAAAGCATAGTGATTGTATTTTCACATGTATGCTTTACTTGTATAAAAGAATGTTTATTCCTGGGTTTGGGTTTTGCCAGTTGCTTGAGGGGAAACACTATTCATATTGACTCATTACGCAGAATAATGGGAAGACTTTATCATTGATAAGCTGATGTATTTTCTCGCTGATTAGTAAGCTGCATCACTTGAAACAATTCACTCATCTTCTTCTGATTCCAGGTTCCTTAAATGTAAAAACCAGGCATTAGGGCTAACCACCCCCTCAATCATGATATAGAACATATACCAAACTCCAAAAGGTTCCCATTTAATCTTTTCATTTCCCTGGCCCCACGTAATCCTTGATCTCCTCTCAGTCTCTCGATATTAGTCTCTCCTGTTCTACAATTTCGTATAAATGGAATCATGTGCTGTACTCCTTTGTGTCTAGCTTTTTTAACTCAGCATAATTTTCTTTGGTGGGGGTGCACCTATCCATGTTTTTGCCTTTTTATTGCTGAGTAATAGCCCATTGTATTGATTTGTTTACCTTTAATGTTGTTTTAATGAGGTTTCAAGAGGAAGTGAGAGCAGATCCTTGTGTTCAATCAGCCATCCTCTTGGTCAGTGTTCTCTTCTTATACAATAGATATAATGCCTTCCTTTACCACTCCTTTATCTCTCTAGGGAACTATTATCTTAAGGTATTTTTCAGCCTTTTCTATTTTTCTTGTTCTTTCAGTACAAACCACTCTGTTTGTTGAGTTTGTTCTTTCCCTCCCATGCTTGCATACCATGGGCTGACTGTCTCCTGCAGAGGAGGTTTCATTGCCAAGTTAGCCCTGGGTTCATGAGTGTTTGGCTTTAATCCATACCTTGCTCTGGCCTCACCAGTGGATTAGCTTCCTCCCTGACCCTACTACTGGAGACCCCTTACTACCACTGTGTTTTTCCATTTCCATTCTTTTTATTTTAAGAGATTCTTCTTTACTTCTTACATGGGAATTCTTATTTCATACATACAGTATAGCTATGAATTTATTATTATTGGAATATTATATGTATTTATTAGTGGAATATTGTTATTCCCAAACCACAACCATATGACTTCAAAATTAAAGACTATAAAAACTTGCACTATCATCATTTAAAATGTTCAGGCAGTTCCCAACCTACTTTACACACAAGAGACACTTGGAGAGATTGAAAAAATCATTAGCACCAGGGTACATCCTCAGCAATTAAAGCAGAATTGGGGTCAGACTCAGGCGATCATATTTTGTAAACTACAAATGAGAGCAGCATGCAAACAAGGTTAACATCCACTGTATTAATATATCAATTTTTGGTTTGTGCTTGCTAGAAGATCCAAGAAATAGCTGCCAACTCATTTTGCTGACTTTCCACTCAATGTTATTTTGGGACCTAGAGAATCCATTACCTGAGAGCAGGGACTGGAAAACTTAGGTCCATAAACAAAACCCAGCCCGCAGCCTGTTTTGGTGTGACTTGAAAGGTATGAAGTTTTTTACATATTTTCATGGTTAAAAAAATCAAAAGAAGAATCATTTCTCCACACACGAAAATCATTGGAAGTTCACATGGCCGGGTCCATAGAAACACTTTTGCTGGAATGTAGCCATGATGTGTCTATGGCAATTTTTTTCTCTACAAGCGCAGAGTTGAATAGTTCCTACACAGACCAAAATGCTTCCCAAGTCTCAGATGCTTACGATCTGACCCTTTCCGGAAAAAGTTTGCTGAGCCCTGGCTTAGAGCAAGCGTCCCTAGAACAAGTGCACAGTTACTCTGGTAGATGGCTGGTGGTCCTTTGTCCAAGCCCAGGAAGGAGATTTACTGTGATTAGTTACCTGTGACTTCACTGTAGGATCTTTCCATCAGCAGTCCATTCATTCTTGGTGTTCTGGGTCAGGAGTGGGAATTGAGTAAGGGACAATCATTTGGCATCAAGATGGCTCGAGTCAGAGAGAGGAAAATGGCTTGGATGATGGAGGCTCTGTTCATCCCTCTGGTGACCAAATCAGGGTTGTGATGGAGGCAAGGAGCAGCAGCAAGGAAAAATCGCCTGGGATCTAGATGAACAGGCCATACAACTACGCAGAAATCCAAGAAAGCACCCTGCTACAGAAGAAAGTAGGACGGGGAGAGGACAGGGGGCTGCCCGGTCTCGAACGACTGAGATGGAGGCTGTGGCAGCGGTAGCGGCAGTGGCAGATGCCTCTTGAAGGAGCTGCCTGCATGGGCAGATTTTCGTGGTGACGGACCTGCTCACTCTGAGCACCAGTGCCCGATCGGCTGTGTGAAGGGGGCACCAGGAATTTGTGGGGAGTGAGAGCTAAGGTGGGACTCGCAAGTTACAGAGGTGCCAAAGGTGTCCATTGTTCCCTGTTGAGCCCTGCCCCCTGCCAGTGCGCTGGACACAACACCACCATAGCTGTGACATCATCAAACTGGATAACAGAGTTTGCTCCGCCCAGAGGATTCCCTGAAACCCCGCCTACCCCAAAACGGGCCCCATCCAACCCACATCCAGGTGTATCTTCAGCGAGTCAGGTGCTCCTTGCTGAGACACACACTGGTAGAAGTAGCTGGCCTCGGTTTCTGGTGTGGCCTTTTGAGGCAACTATAAGCACAGAATCTGTGGATTGCTTGCTGAATCTTAACAGATGGCCCCAGAGTGGTAGAGGCTTGGGTTAAATTTGGCCTGCAACTGAACCCCACTCAGGACTATGCCACTGGACACCTACTTCACAAATCCACACCAATAAGACCGGGATACTTGGGAGCTTTGCTTAGTACATAGAAACAGACACAGAAAGGCAGCCAAGATGGGAAGACAAAGAAGAAGAAATCATATGACAGAACAGAACAGAGATTCAGATATAATGGAGTCAAGTAACCTAACAGATGCAGAGTTCAAAACACTAGTTATAAAGATGCTAAATGAACTTTTAGAAAGTGTAGAGAACTCCAACAAGGAGATAAAAATGGAAATGGAAATTATAAAAGGGAACCAGTCTGAAATGGAGAACACATTATATGAGATCAGAGGTATACTAAATGGAATAAACAATGTGAATAAAGAAAAGAATCAAAAGCCCTATCTAGAAGACAGGAAAACTAGTCAGAACACTCAATCAGAATGGCAAATAAAAAGACAAGACTATAAAAATAATTTAAGGAGAATATGGGACACTATTAAGTCTCCAAATATTTGTCTGATCGGCATAACAGAAGAAAATCAAGATGTTGAACAGTTGTTTGAAGAAATAATGAGTGAAAACTTCCCTAACTTGGTGAAGGAAATGGACATAAAACCCCAGGAAACTCAGAAAATTCCAAAAATCAGGGATCCAAAAGGGCCACACCAAGACACATGATAATTAAAATACTAAAGGTTAAAAAGAAAACAAAGAAAAAATATTAAAAGCGGCAAGAAGAAAAGAAATAATTACTTATAAGGGAACACCCACAAGACTGGAAACTGATTTCTCAAAAGAAACTATGCAGGACAGAATGGCTTGGCAAAAAAAAATATTTGAAAGGATGAAGACTCAGGATATACAATCAATAATAATTTATCCAGCAAAACTATCATTTATTGTTGAAGGACACATAAACAGTTTCCAGAAGAAGATAAGCTAAAAGAATTAATCACCACTAAGCCAGTATTACAGGAAATGTTGGAGGGACTTCTTTAAGAAGAGAAAACATGTATCAAAAACTAGAATAAAAAATAGTAACAACTAGATTCCTATCAATAAGCACCTTATGGAAAAGAAATATGTGCTTCAACCAAAAGACAGAGTGGCTGAAAGAATAAGAAAACACGACCCCAAA